TGATATAAATGGGTTCACGATTGTTCAAGTGTCCCCGACGAAGAATACATATAATATTTCTTATTTTCTTTATTATACTGTATTTTATAATTTAGCTTTTGTAGAATGGTCTTCATTGTTGTTTAATATCTCACTCTAGCGGGAGGATATTAGCACCAGAAGTTACATGTCTATGAGGATTTGTGTCTTTATACATTATGTCTACTAAATTTTGTACTTCTTTGAAAGAGCTTGAAGTAATAAGGTCATGAAGGTGAGTTATTAGAGTATGATTATTACTCATATTATATAGTTCTTGTATTGATAATTGTTCAGATTCAATTAGGTTCTGGAACAATATTGAATTTTCTTGCAATATTTGGAGACTTCTCAAAGTAGATTCTAAGAATTCTTTAAATTCTTGTTTGTATATAGCAGTAGTATTTAAAGTATCAATGTTGGCTTCATTAGATATTAGTTCAGTCAATTCAGATATATTAAATAGTGATGTTACTAAAGCATTGATTCTAAGAATATGTCCTATATAATTAAGAATTTCTTTAGATAAGGTAGTTATAGGACTGTTATAATTATTATTGTAATTATTACTTTCATTGTCTATATTTTTATTCTCATCATCTATGTTATCATTATCTTTATTATTAATCTCAGAACTTATTAATATTTCTGATCTGTTAATATATTTATTATAATAAATTTGTTAAGCTTCTTGGTAAGTTAGAAAAGTTATTTTAGGTAAATACATATACTGCTCTTGTTTACAAAGTTTATTGATATAAAGAGCAGTAGCATGAAGATGCTTATACAAAATACCAGTTTGAAGAAAGTCAAAGTATTAACAACAAATATCTGTTGGCTGTCTATATACACAGGTTGTATAAATAAATCTAGAAGAAGATTCAGACTCAACCTCAACATAGATTTTTTCACTAGTTATTTCAAATTTAATAACTTTTTTCATTTCAAATAGTTTTTTTGCTAATTCATTCTATTTTATACTTAGAGATAAATAAGCAACTTGTAAAATTCTTGTATTGGAAGCTTACAATTAGATAGATCCATTATATTGAGTTCTTTTTGTTACTTTACTTTCTTACATTCAAAATTCATAGCAAGATTTCATAATGTTAAAATATTATATATAACTTTATATACAAGAGTAATATAAAATATATCAGCTCTAAGAAGGTGACCACTTCTTTGAAATTGATTTAATTGATTATTTTTCAAATATTTATTCATTCCTTCAAGGTAGTTATTTATAGTAAGGAATTTTTCTAAAGAAATTCCAAGGGCATTTGTAGCTCTCATTCGTCCATTTAGACACCAACTATACAAAAGATCTCTAGCCTACTGTTTAATTAAATAAGAAAGAAATTTCAACTCACCTTCTAAAAGTTTTTTATTTTCTGAAATAGTTTCTACCTCATACATACTTTCTAATGATTCTTTTTTTTTTTTAATATATTCATGCACTATCTCTTCACTACTATTCATCGACTAAGCCTCTTTTATAATACTTATTTTTTTTTTAAATTCGGCAGCTATGCCTCAACTTTATTCAAACAGTTTGT